AAAAAAAAAACCAAACAAAACTCCAGGCTCTTTCTCCTTTAAGCCGGAATATTTTAACCTGGCTTTTTGAAATTGAGGTCAGCAAAAATGGAAAAAAGACCACTGGTGACTCCTTAGACTGCAGAATGAAAAACCCACAAAAGTAAAACTGAAGTCGTGTAAAAGTAGCAAGTGCATACCCTGGCACAGAATACATCCTTAGCAGAATTTACTCTAAGTGATTGCACACATAGCTACAGCTAGTTAGGGATCCAGGATGTGATTCGTATATAAAATTAAAGAAGAGGCAGGTAGAGAAAGGAGGAGGCCCCATGACTCCCAATTCATTTTGGATGCTTGGTTCTGGGGAAGGTCCTTGATCAGGCATTGACTGTGTGCTTTTATCATTTTGCAGATGTTCACCCTCTCTAAAAAGGAATCCAGGGTACCTCCCACATGTCTGGGCCCAGCCTCCACACAGGGCATGGACAGTAATTACCCGGATGGTCTGGAGAGAGAATGCTCTGGAAAACCAGACCAGAAGCTGCCAGAGCTCTATGGAGTGGGTGATCCCATCCCCACATTCTCCTCTGATGGCTCCCACCTGTCCTCAAGAGGAAGAATCATTAAATGGTTCTGGGACTCGGCCGAGGAGGGCTACAGGACCTACCACATGGATGAGTATGATGAGGACAAGAACCCCAGTGTGAGTGAAGCCCTCCTTCCCACTGGCACCCAGTAAAGGACTGCAGGGTGGGATACCCTGCCTTGACCCACAGGGCAGCATCTAGCTTGCTCTTGTCAGGTTGGACTTGTGGTCCTCTGACCTCCAAGAGGGCTTCTGATGTAGCATAGAAAGTCCCCAGTTTATTACCCGGATCAGAAAATGGCCCAGTTTTAATTAAGGGGAACTTGATTTGTGAAAGAGGAATTTGAGAACCATGGAATGCTCTAATGTGGATTCTGACCCACAGACTATCAACTGTTCAACTTTAGAGCTGGGGCAGAACTAGGGTTTGGGTCACAACTATTTTACCTATGGGTCATGTAATCTTGAGCTAATTATTTAACCTCTTTGAACTGCAGTTCATCTCTAAAATGAGAGAATGTTACCTGTTCTATAGAATGGTCCCAGTGAAATGATATCAGGTATGTGAAGTTATTAGCACAGTGCTTCCACATGGAGCGCTCAGTAAATGGTAGCTGCTATTATGATGGATGTTATCTGTCCTGGTTATTGTAAGTTGTTACCAGTAATATCTTCAGAGCTGTAACAAGTTCTTTATTTGTGGAGCAAAGTGTTGAACAGATCCCACTTTGCTGCTTCCTTGACCTTCCCTTGGCCCCCTCTCTGTCATGCTCACCCTGCCTCTGTACCTCTCCTCTCCAGGGCATCATTAACTTGGGCACCAGTGAGAACAAGCTCTGCTTTGACCTTCTGTCCAGGCGGGTAAGTCCTGGTGCACCTCTGGGTGGCATCACCAGCTCCGAGGGCCTGTTTTCTCTTAGACTCCCCAGAATGCCTCTCCCAGAAGAGCCAACTTTCTGTGTGGTCTTGGGCGAGTCACTTCCCCTACTCTGATCCTACTTCTTTTTCTCTTCAGGCTCTGCCCCTCACTCAGACCCTTCTGTCAGCTGGGTCCCTGCTCTCAGGGGAAACACTCAGTGGTGGGTGTATGGTCAGTAATGAACAACTGGCTCTGGGGGTGGTGGTGCTGATTTGTAGCTTTTGCCAGTTTCCATAGTGTAAATACTTCCACCATGGCCAGTTTCAAGCTACTGATGTGACATTATTGCACACAGAATTGGGAAGAGAAGTGCAGTGGCACACATATACAGGGTGGAGCAAAAGTAGGTTTACAGTTGTTCATATGGAAAATAATACAAAAATTAATAAATAACAATACAAAAATAAACTCGTTTTGTATACTCACAACTGTAAACCTACTTTTTAAAAAAAATATATCTTTATTGATTTCAGAAAGAGGAAAAGAAAGGGGGAGAGAGAGAGATAGAAACATCAATGATGAGAGAGTCATTGGTCGGCTGCCTCCTGCATGACCCCGACTGGGGATCAGGCCCGGAACCCGGGCATGTGCCCTGACCGGGAATCAAACCCTGGGCACTTGGATCCTAGGTCGACACGCAACCACTGAGTCACGCCCGGCCAGGCTGTAAACCTATTTTTGCCTCACCCTGTATAGTGTTTTCCCTTCTAAACACATAGACAGAAAAAACCTCAAGAGCACAGATAATAGTAAAATGTAACATAATCAAAAACAATATTGTCTGAGTATTTACTACCTTTCTTTTTAATATAACTCATTTATATAATTTATGTATAATTTGTATAATTTAATTTTTGAAATTACTGTCTATTAACACAGCTTGCAAAGTTCCTGAAAATTTAATAATCAGATTTCTTGAGCCATACTCTAGCAGGGTGAAGGAGAAAGGGGAAGACTGTTATATACGAGTGGCTGACTACCTTCCACCCTGTGGTCCCACTGCCCTAGGACCCTGCCTCTCCTTGACACTGTGTGTGTGATGCCCCAGGAGTCACTGACCCAGCGCCTGGTCAGGGTGGGAGTGGTCTGGAAATGGTCACATTTTCCAAAGTGTGGGGCTGAACAGAGCCTGCAGGATGACAGAGGCCTGAGTCCCTCCAGAAGTTGGAGCCAAGACCAGGGTGATGGCACCCAATTCCAGGACCTCTCCTTTCCCCCGAGGGAGGAGCTGGGTAGCATGGCCTCCCATCACTGGTCTGCAAACCCACCCCTCTGGGTTCTGTAGGTGGCCGTGTGGAATAAAGAGCCCTGGACTAGAAGTCAGACATTCTAGGTATTTTCTCAGCTCTTCCACTTGCTAGCTCTATGACCTTGGCTGAGTCACCTGACTTTTTTAGCCTTGGTTTCCTCATTAGCAAAACAGGCCTGGGATTGCTGTTTTTGTGAGCCCCTCTCACAGTTTCTCTGATGAGGAGACCAAGTCCTTGGCATTAGAGGCCCTGGTGCTGCGTGGGTGCACGTGGTAATGCCAACTAGCCCTTACTGTTAGCATGTGTGACCCTTAGTCCTGCTCTTTCCTCTCTGCCCCAGCTGAGTCAGAGTGACATGCTGCAGGTGAAGCCAGCTCTTTTGCAGTACCCTGACTGGAGGGGACATCTGTTGTAAGTAGTTGCCGTAGCCCAGTGGTTGTCAACCCCAGGGTGGTTTTGCTCCCCACTGGACATTTGGAAATGTCTGCAGATATTTTTGGTTGTCATAACTGGGAAGTGGATGTCACTACACCTCCTATAATGCCAGGATATCACCTACCACAAAGAATTATGTGGCCCTAAATGTTAATAGTGGCAGATCCAGAAAGCTTGCCTTAGGCTGAGGGCCTACCTGGTCCTGAAGACCTGGCAGGCCATCATGGGATCTCCTGGAGCATCTGCAGGGGCCTGGCCTCTCCTGCCAGTCCCACCCCAGCTCAGGAGCTCCCTGGCTTGGTTCCTTTGGCTCTGAGGCATGGGGAGGGCCTTCATACAAGGGTTCCTTGAACCCACTTTCTCATTAGCTTTAGAGGAGCCAGAGTCAGTTTAAGGGGAGCTGGCTGGGGCTTGCTCCTACTGGTAGGGTGGGAGATGGTAAATAATACTTGTAAGAGTTTGTACTTCCTGAGCACTAACTAGGAGCCAGATGCTGTCCTGGGTGTAGTGACTGAGTACGACTTAATTCCAAGAGTGGTTCCAAAGCACATGTTCTTAGAATAATCAGGATGGTGGGCCCTCACATCAGACCTCTGGGCTTGAGTGTGGACTCTGCCATTTACCAGCAAGTGACCTAATTTCTTCATCTCAGTTTCTTTGTAAAATGGGAATAATAATAGTCATAGGTGCATCGTAGGGTTGTTCTGAAGATTAAATGAGTAAAATTCTCCAAATTACACCTGTATAAAGTAAATGCTCAATAAATATTAGCAATAATAACTATGATAATAATCATTGTTATAATAATAATATTATTATTATTAGCTAGATCTACTTATAAAGTGTTGCCTGTGATATCCCTGACCCCCGCTGATTCACTGGGGTTGCCTGAGAATGAAAGTTTCGATGCCTGAGGGTGGCATTGGGGGTG